AAAACGCTTCTTTAATTTCTTTAAAACTCTATTTCCTCCTCTATTTTGTACCTGGTCCATGTCCTATCATTTTTATTGTTTTTCGTCATTTGGGTGGAATTATAATTATTTATCATTTGTACTTCATTGCTACTGGATTGCATTTTGTAATAATCTATTTATTTTTGTTATGTGTAATCCATGTTGATTTGATTCTATGGATGAATTTTCGTCTATTTCCAAAAAAAGGTTTTCGACCATACTGTAAATCGTACAAAATGAAAAACACCTGAAAACGAGCTGATCCTTACATCTGCTTGGAAATAAAGTCTGAATACGGATGGAACAAAACGGGTTTATGGAAAAAGGAGTCCAGTCCGATTGGCGGAAAAAGCAGTCCATTCCGATTTTGGGGTGGAAAAAGCAGTCCGGTGGTTTCTACTAAATTCTACGAAAGACCATAGGCACAATTTTTTCTTGTGTATGTACTTCTAGTTTCTATGGGTACTTCGAGTTTCTATGAGTACTTAGAGTTTCTATGAGTACTTAGAGTTTCTATGGGTACTTAGATTTTCTATGAGTACTTAGAGTTTGTATGGGAACTTAGAGTTTCTATGAGTACTTAGAGTTTGTATGGGAACTTACAGTTTGTAACTTACATATCATCGTCATCATCATGCCTCCGGATTATTACTTACATATAAGTAATATTATAAGTAATAATAATTAGTCAAAAGATGAAGCGGTCAACTGACAAAATTTCCAGGGCCGATCCTGCTTGCAAGTAGCCTGATTAAATCGCTTTACGGTTGCCAGCTGCCTAACATCCAGCCGGCCCCTGCTAAAGCCGTGTATGGCAGACTTTGCATTACACCGACAAGCATGTAAGTACCGGAAGTACAATTGTAAGAAAGAATCCCTTAATAATTAACTTTTGTTTATTGTGGATAGGTGACCTGTATGTATAGAAACTACTTTTCTGTGGTCCCAAGAGGTGTAAATCGGTTGACCGCTATTCCTCACCCAAGATTGCCTGAATTACGGGTTAAGGCGGCATATAGTGAGTCACATATATGCTAATTCAAGTTCCCATACAAACTCTAAGTAGTCATAGAAACTCTAAGTACCCATAGAAACTCTAAGTACTCATAGAAACTCGAGGTCCCCATAGAAACTAGAAGTACACACAAAAAAAAAATTGTGCCTATGGTCTTTCGTAGAATTTTGTAGAAACCACAGGACTGCTTTTTCCACCCCAAAATAGGACTGGACTGCCTTTTCCGCCAATCGGACTGGACTCCTTTTTCCATAAACCCGAACAAAACTGGCTTCTGTACAGGAGGGAGTTTCGATACTGTGGTGAACATTGTTTTACCAGAGAACGTCATACAGCCAGAGGTTACGCTGTGAGAGGGTGTGCGCGGAAGCAGCCTGCACAGGAGACTAGGCTTCTTTATTGTGCTGTACTATGATCATTTTCATGAATTGCAACAATACACTGCAAAGATGCATGTTAAAAAATGACTTTATTGAGTTTGAAAAATTGACAACAATATATTCCAACATTATTCTCAATACTGGAGAACGTAACACTAGTATTTCTAAAATCTACAACTATTGCACATGAAGTGATAAAATGTACTTGTATCTCTCAGGAAAATTTTCATTGTAAATCTGGCAACTGTTCTTCCACACAGATTTGTATGTCATGCATATATACAGATTAAATGATAAATTGTCAGGAATGATTAAAAAATGATAATCCAACAGGTTATAATTTTGTGTCAATATGGTTTGTTATGAAACAATGGAACAAATGAAGAGATCATACAAACAGTATTCCTTAAGGATAAAGATACAAACAGTATTCCTTATGATAGAACAAACTCTCCAATGATAGCGTACATTTTCCTGATGACAAGCTAGAAAGTGAGAAACTTCATTCTGGAACTCGCAACTATGAGAAGATACCAGTACTGAAATCATCTCATTACCAAAACATTTAGATATCAAACTGTTCTCCTTTTTGTTGGAGATAAGTCACATAGCCACACACATAGAAAACCAATGCTACTAACAACTCATACAAACATTTTTGTCTTTTCTATTGATGTGTAAATTCACATGTACATCTACAAGTTTGTATAGTAGTATGCTGAGCACTGGAAGCAGCAACTGTGTGTACATGTACCTTACAGTTAGTCCAACAAGATGAAGTGTTAATTATTTCGAGAAAGATTTCAAGATTTTCCTTAAAATTAACTACTATTCATTTATAAAATTGCAGCATTTCGAGATTTAGATTTATCTATATGGTCAAAAAACATTCATCCCATAGCTGCCTTTATTCCTGTAATAGCTGCCTTTGAAAAGCTCCCTGCAACAACTCTCACACTATCCTCACACATGACAATGTTAAAACCCCCATGTCTAATGTAGCAGATATAACATGACAGGCTCACAATCGACGCAGCCTTCGTTTGCTTCCCTTGCTGCCGGCTACTGGACTGGTTCGGACCTTCTTCCCCCGCACGAGTGTTGGTGAGATGATGGGGGTGAGTGCTGGACAGGGGATGTCTCCATGGAACTCACAGTTGCAGTGGAGGCAGTAGTCAAACTTACATCTAAGAAGCAGAAAAAATGCTCATCTTTATTTCGCTGTCATATACACTTGGTAGAAACTTTTAATGAGATTTTTGTTTGTATCAGATTCAGACTGAAGTTCATGCAAAATATACACCAGCTCCTTTGTGTACATGTACCAATCCATGCAGCAACCATCTCATTAGGCCACCCCAATTTAATTTGTTGGTTCTTGGATTTTTCCATAAAAAATATAAAGCAACAGGGCAGAAAAAAAGTAAAACAGCCATCCTACTATAGCCCCAAATGCTACAATAGGAGTCATGAAATCCACACAAAAGGCTGGGTTAATATTTAAACAATGAATTTTGAACTTTTAATCAAACCACCATTGATGGATAGAAAAACTGTAGCAACTGGGAAGAAAATGACTTTCCTCAACTGTTGGGGGCAAAATATGAGTATTTTTGAGTTGATTAAGAACCAGAATCCTTTTTTTTTGCAAATCAGAAAAAAATGAAGAGGCGAATCAGAGAACCAACAAATGAAATTGGTGTGGCCTTACCAGTTAATCAACAGCAACACATTTACAAATTATTTTCCCATGTTGTCTAGAAGTGAGTTCTACTCTGCTCAGCCAACTTTACACATATCCAAACATGGCCTCCCAAACCTTTCCCAGATTTCCTTGGGAGTTATTGTGAACAAGATCATTGGGTTTGAAGCTGGTCAGTGTAGTTTGCTACTGGCTAACCAAATGTTCCAAACAGTTTTAAAAATGACGAGATGTTGGGAGATTGTGGAAAGGTCTGGGCAGTCTCTGGAAAGTTAGCAGTAGTCATGGCATGGTTAGGACTAAAAGTTGGAGACAATTGTTTCCTAACTAATTCCAGAACGTGGGCCAACCATCCAAACCTTCACACAATACAGATGGAAGATCCATAGAAGCCATCTTGATGCTAGTATACTGACAAAGTTTGATCTCTAAATGGGTTACAACATAGAACTTAGAAGTACAGGTATGCTACATTATGATTTTTACCATGGTGGAGCCAGGACCACTATTAAAAGCTGCTGAGCTGGTTGTGTCCGTTTCAGTAATTCATGTAAATTGGAAGATCTGGCAAATGGTTGGGAATCAGTTATCAGGGCTCATAATACTGGGTGCATGTGCACCTTGGTGCACCCAAATTTGGAGCTGTGCACCCAATTATTTTCTTTTAAATTGTTGTAGGTATTTTTGTCCATATCAAATCTATAATAGTAATACAGGATATTCTTGGCATCTTAGTGTCAGAAAAATAATAAAATCTTTGTTGTAGTACTTGTTTAGATTTTGAAATTACCTCCCAGTAAGATCTGTAATTAGGTTTTGTTTTATATGGTGCACCCAAAGACTTTTTTGTGCACCCAATGTTTTTGGTTGGCACCAGTGCACTTATTCCCAAAAATGAATTTTGAGCCCTGGTTATGATGAAGAGGGAGTCCTCAGTCCCAGCCCACCTGCCCAGTACAGGTACATTGTGCTTCGGTATGATCATGGACTGGTCGGGACAGAAGATTCATGTGAAGGTGTGGCCTGATACTGGTCTGACAGCTCCCAACCCACTGCTGAACTGATACAAGGTCACAGTAATTAGGTACCACTTTGGTATGAATTTGTGACCTCACCCATAATCAAGGTGTATTACTAAAAGTTTGATGCAAAACTATAAAACAGTATAGATAAATTCAAGGTTCTAGCTAGCGTGAAGTAGCGTAGGGGCCCCCTAAATTTCCCCCCCTACGCTAATTTTCAATAAAGTGTAGGGGCATTGTGACTCTATTTCTTTGTTCAAGAATGCCAGATCAAATGTGAAAAATTACAAATCAAGGATACATTGTACACACCTTAGAGATAACATTTTTATCCCTTTGGGTATCCCTCAAATGGCCTTTTTTAGCTCAAATTTTTAAAAGCTCCACCCCATCCCCCTCTCGGTCGCTTTGCAACCTCAACATGCAGCTAGTGCCACTATGCTAAAATTAAATCCTAGCTATATAGCTAGAACATTGATAATGTTCCCCAAACTCAGTCTGTTGTGATGCGTACCTGTCCTGCTGACACGTGGCCCGATGGTTCTTAGGAAAGACGTGTGCTGGACACCGACAGCGGATACACGGAGTCAGGTAATGTCCATACGGCAGTAACCTGGCCAACTGGAGGAGAAGTCAACACAACACAACAGGTTTTCTTGGTATTTCTTCATCCCAGACTCACAGGTCAACTACACTTGTATCAAGTCTGGTCATCAGTACTCTCCAAGCAGAGGTTTGGGTTTTGGGGGTATTTTTAGCGTGTTTTAGGCTTTTTTTATCGGTGTTTCTCTTTTGCACTGAATTTTTTTTCCACCAAACCCAACCTCTGCCGGCACTCACCCCGGGGCGGGGCAAACCTATTCAGGAAACGTGACAGGGAACCATCAAATTATCGTTAGGGATATCCATTTTACTGTGGTGGATTATCACACATCTAGCCAGTCAGAAAGGCATTCATTGGGCCACATGCCTCCTGCCGACTGTGCCTATTCATGCGTCTGGTTCACACCTCCTTGCAGAACGACTGAAATGTGTTTAAGTGATTAGGTTTATAGCCCATTGAAGCTTTCGACTGCCGGCAGAGGTTGGGTTTGGTGGGAAAAAAATTCAGTGCAAAAGAGAAACACCGATAAAAAAAGCCTAAAACACGCTAAAAATACCCCCAAAACCCAAACCTCTGCTTGGAGAGTAGGTCATCAGCCCTGAATGGTGTGTGCACGTGAGTATGTGTGTGTGTGCACATGTGTGTGCAGATATGTGTATGTGTGTGTACTTGTGTGCACAGGTATGTGTGTGTGTATGCGTGTGCACATATGCTGCGTGTGGGAGTGTGTATGTGTATTTGAATAATCCAAGCATAATGTTTTACTTACAGGACCATAATGGGATTATTACCATCATTAATACCACGGTATTTCTTCTAAGATCTATTGAAAAAATGCAGTAACAAAAACATGGCAAACGGTTGAGTACTTTCGCATTGCCACTACATTAGAAAGAACAGGAAGTTTCCACAATACATTACATTGTACATCTTTTAGAGAATAATTCTGATAACCTTGGAGAATTGTTCATGTCTGGACATGGCAGGTGCGGGCTGTGTTGGTGTGACCACCTGCTGCAGCTGTAAGGTGGCCAGGGCAGCTGGGACAGAGTCTGGCAAACTGCCAACATCACGACAACGCCATTTCATAATGTTTTCCTAAAAAAAGAAAAGGAGAAAAATTGTTAGGAGGGTTTTCTATGGTGTGTGGAAAAAAAGACACATGGGCTTCTGTTTCATATTGATAATGTTGATTACAGAAATTTTGTCAAACTAAGACCAATATCTGGATCAGCAGACAATGAACTGGATAGTGAGTGAGCCAGCCAGCCAGTGAGTGAGTGAGCCAGAATCCACAACTAGTCTCACCATCATTCCTATTCTCTAGCACCAATACTTAGTAATACTACAAGTCAAGCACATCGGAGTCAGGCCCTGATGACTTCAGAACCATGGTCCGTTTGCTATTGACCAAGTAACTGACCCTCAGTTCTGGCTTTATAAATAAAGATTAGATGTTCAAGGGTTAGGTGTAGTTCACCAAAAGGTCAGTGTGGTATTGAATACAAGCATGATCCCTTAGAATGACAGCAAAATGACAAAAACACAAATTCACAAACACTCTAGAACTGTTGTGTAGTACCATGCCAACACGGGGAGCCAGTCGAGCCAGCCTCCTTCTCTCTCTGAGGTAGGTCTGTCTGCATGGCTCTGCCTCCCTGTCACTCACACACACCAGATACCACTGTCTGGACACACAGCACATGCTGCAGACAAGGTGGGCAGAAAATCTCTTATTGTCATCATTAATCAGGCTACTGTACTTTGACTCAATTTTAGGTGAATCCAAAAATACTGGAATTTTTCAATTTTTACCTTAAAAATGAGAGGCCTACCATAATCCTTAGCTTGTGTGCCATCTGTTTTGTAAGGCCTAGGAAAAAAAAAGTGTTTCCTGTTTCCCGACCAACCCTACAAAAAACTACATAGCCTTTTTTGGGGTGGACCCCTGCAAGGGACATAAATTTTATTCAAGCTGATTGACCTTTTCTAGCTCCATAATCTGACACTCCTGTTATGAAATGTTGTACAATTGGTTTTTCAACATTGACATTGAAAATATCAAGACATAGTGTTCACATGGAAGTTTTACTTTGTTAAACTGTATTGTACTGTATATGATCACTGGGGATTGCCAAAGTCTAATAAAAAAAAGGAAAGAAATAATAATCCCTAGGCTACCTACCGACAAAATGGACAGTTCCAAGATTACATAAACCTAGCTGTTAGCCCATTCCCTGATTGTGCCTATAATTATCTAATGGTTACTACTTACTGGTATATATATCAGGGCTCAAAATCCTTTTTTTCAGGAATGTGCAAGATTGCACATTGGTAAAAATTTTAGGTGCAATATGAAAAATTTATGAGCAAAATTACATTTAGTCTGCAACCATTTCACCTTTCCAGTGCTAGTAACTCCCACGCCCCTACATTGTACATCTCTCCACATGTCAGAAATGCAAGAGAAACTGTTGGAACTTCCCGAAATTAAAAACATTTCATACGGCATATAAATTTACTTAACAGTCTGAGAGCAATAAATTACATGTATTTTTGCGACCTCTCAGGGAGGAGCCTAATGGTACAGTATTGTGTGCAATTTGCAAGAATTCTAGGAATTGTATACAGGCATTTTGTCCACAGGAATGGAATGTCCACAGTCATTTCCCTGACCCACATCTATGCCCACATTCTTGGAAACCCTTGGGAAGACCCAGAAGACCTGTCTACCACGGATGGCCCTACTTTCTGTGACCCCGGGGCTCGTTCACTATACACTCAGGAGAGGAGTGCACTGTATCTGTCTTGCTCAAAATCATGAAACGATGGCAGTGCCATGCAAACAATAATCCTAACATGAACCACCGTCGCCATGGCAATGTATGTTTTCAATGCCAGTCTTGTTATTTTCATATTTGTTTCCCTTGATTATCCTGCATGATATGTAAAGCAAAATACATGTATGCTGCTTATAAAAATAATGTATGGTTAATTTTCGGTTCTTTTCCTGCAACAGACCCCCCTCACCCTCCTGCTCTGGGTGCAAAATTGCACATTCAGAATATTTTTTAAGTGGAAATCTTGAAATTCATGTACATGTGCATTTTGCACATTGCACATGGGTACTTCGAGCCCTGTATATCAATGAATGAATGATTATATTAACCTGTCAAGTGCCCTTTGGGATTACACTATACCATAATTATTAAACAATCAAACAAGGGTGAATTTCCTACATGTCTATTGTAGTGTCACATCTATATTGATATTTTTGTGCATTCTCAAAATAAGCTGAGGTTTTGTTTGAAAAGCGGACATTAGGCCACACCAATTCAATTTGTTGTTTCTCGGATTTTTTTCAGAAAAAATATGAAGCGACAGGGCGAAATAAAAATTAAAAAAAAAACAGGCCAAGGCACCCCACGAAGGCCGAAAATGTTACGATATGAACCATGAAGTGAACAAACCAGGCTGGTTTATAATCAAAACAATAGATTTTGAAGTTTTAATAAAACAAAGTTGCATTGTTACATTCTCTCTTCAACCCTTGGGGCCAAAATGTCTTTCATTGAGCATTTTGCAGTTGATTCAGAACCAGAAATTTTTGCAAATCAGAAAAAAAATCGACAGGGCAAATGCGATTAACAACAAATTAAAATGGTGTGGCCCTATTGTTATTAAGAGCTGGAGAATATATAGTGATACTGGCACACTTGTGTCACACTTAGTTCTTACCTGCTAAGGTCTGGAGGGTCCAAATATGCCAGGATGGATTCAACTATCATTGGCATGTTATACACATGAGTCAGTTCTCCTGAAAAACACAACTTCTAATGTTGGTACGTGTGTTCATTCTGCTGACAGGGCTTGAAAATAAATAGATGAAATACTCAATGCACCTTAGTACAGGTACAATTGCAGCTGTGCAGGTATTTCTGATATCTACCTGCACTGGTCCATGTACTGGGTATACACAGGGTTCTAGCTAGGATTTAATTTTAGCGTAGTGGCACTGGCCGCATGATGAGGGAGTGAAGCGGAGCTTTTAAAAGATTTGATCTTAAAAAGAGGTCATTTGAGGGATACCCAAAGGGAAAAAATGTTATTTCTAAGGTATGTACAATGTATCCTTGATTTTTCACATTTGATCTGGCATCCTCGAAGAAAAGAAATACAGTCACAATGCCCCCATGCTGTATTAAAAATTAGCATGGGGGGGGGGAATTTAGCGTAGGGGGTCAAAATTATAGCGTAGGGGGGAAAATTTAGCATAGGGGGTCAAAATTATAGCTACTTTGCACTAGCTACAACCCTGATAAATATATATACATGTAGGTGCATGTGGATCTTTAGATGCTGACAGTAAGCTATGAAATATTTACAGTGCTACACCAGTCCCTGCATGCTGACAGGTGGTAAATTAACTATCTTGTAAGAGGTCCTCTGGACCAATCAGGTCCTCAGGACCAATCAGAGGAGTTAGAGAAACAGGTATGTAACTATGCTAATGAGGGGGATGATATAAAGAAGGGGGCTTAGACTTAGAGGGCACAGATATGCAGTTTGCCTTCGGAGAGAGGAGGTAAGCAGGGGTTTGGAGAAACAAGGGGGGAGTTGGGAAAGGGTATAGCTATATAGCAAGAGACATAAGAGTAAGATATTACATCAAGGCAGGATAGGTATTTCTTTCCCCAAACACCCCACCTACCCCGACCCAATTTCTTTTTAAGGGCTAGAGAAGACCATGTGCTCTGACTGATTCATTGAAAGTGATGCTCACTCTGACCAACACTGAATCAATTTAACCATAAAAGTTACTCTGAAGTATATATAATTTGTCTTGGGGAAGCTTGCTTTAGTATTTCAAATATAGTATAGAATTAGATCCTAATGTGTTAAAGTAGAATGAAGCAACAGAGAGTGAACTTTTACTTCAATCTGCTATAGTAGCCATTTGACTCCAACTTTGTATTGGCTTTGGGGTTAGGCAGCAGGGAGAAGGTTAACCGTACCAGCTAGAGGACTATGGACAGTAGAACCAAATTTGTTGACAGGGACTGGAGAGTAGAGAGAGTTACTCTCCTGTACTCACCAATGAAGTCCACATAGTCACAGCCCACTTTACTGCCTGGCTGGCGCTCGTGCAACACAAACTGTGACAGGGACAGGGCCAGGCCGCTGTCATCCATCCCGCCTGTCTCCATCACAGCAGGTTCTGCTACATCACAGCGGCTCTGGGCTGGTCTGCGCGGCAGGTCTCGGCTGAACAGTTTCCTTTTGATGGTGCCTGGCGTCTTCACGCTTCCAAAATCACCCAGGAGAGATTTCCTTACTTTATTCACTTCTGCTGGGTGACGTCTTTTTCCTGGGCTTACTTTGCTTCTTCCTGTTGATGTTTGTAGCTTGGATGGGCTACATCTTTTCCCAGGGCTGGATCTTAACTTCACTGGAGAAAACCGCAACTTGGGTGGACTTGAGCATTTGTGAGGGCTGTTCTTCTTTGGTGATTTCCTAAGTTTACTGGGTGATGCTCGGATCTTCCTGGGTGACTGTTGTTTTCTAGTTTTGCAGGGAACAGTGTCTGACGGTGACGGTGGTGGGGCAGGGTGTTTCTCTGGGGAGAGTTTGAAGTGGACATGCCGCCCTGACAACTTTGTGTTTTCCTTGAAGTCTGTAAGTAGCTGCTCTTCTTGTACGTCTCCATCCTTCCCACCACTGATACTAGTGTTAGATGATGCTTCCCTCACGATAATATCTGTCTCTTCAGTCATCATTGTGTCACAAACACAGGACAGGCCATGGCTCCCTTCCATGTAGGAATCAGTGTCAAAACTCGAAACACTCAGACCTAAGGCACTGTCTGCAAATGTAGCTGCGAGGTTTGGGCCAGAATCAGCAACTTGTTTGAAATCTGAACAACTGACCTGTCCTTTATCATGAAGAGATGAACTGTCAGCAAAGGGATTATGTACTGTTGAACTTGAGAGGGTTGAATTATCACTAGAACTTTCCATGCACCGATTTTGCAGTACATTGAATGCTTCAGAATTGCGTACGCATGCCAATGGTGGGTTCCGGTGGTTGTTATTCCTGACATCTGTAGGTTGTGATAATCTGCATACTTTGACAGGAGGAGGGCTGTCACTGCCACTCTCACAGCCTTCTTCCCACTCAACAGGAGGAATGTTGACACTCTCAGCAACTTTCACACCCTCAACATTATCTGGAACTGCAACGTGTACGCGTGTTTTGTTGTCCTGTCCACCTGGATACATGTACCTTTCACAATGTGTGACTTGTCCAGGTAACATTCCTATAGACTGCTGGTGGGATCCCTTTATACTCGCAGTCTTTCCTTGTGGAGAGACCAGTGAACCCGTGTGCCCTTGACCATTGCTGCTTGTTATGTTGCTGTTTTGTGGCCCATTTGCAGACTTTGGCATCCCGGCAACGTTCACTGCCTTTTGTGAACCTACATGACACATACAGTTGTCTCCCTGACGGCTTACTGATTCTTCCTTTGCCCTGTCCTGTGTGTTCTCCTTCAAACTGGGTTCCTTCCTGTTCTCTGAGCTAACACCTACGTCATGCAGACAACTTTCACTGTGCTCTTTCCCTAATAGCTGATCTTCTATTTCTATCAAACCTTCCTTCAGTTGGAAGTGATTTGGTATGTGCTTGTTTGTGTACGGAGACTGTGGGACTAAACAGTCACCCTCCTCTATGCTATCTGTTGGCATGCTAAGAGGTAGATGTGAGATAGCAGTGATGACTTTAGAGATGTCTGATAAGACCGAGTCATCTGTAGGGTGAAGAGTTGGTGCAGGTTCTGGTGTTGGTGTGGCACAAACCAACGCATTCTGTCTCTGTAATGTCTCTTTATCTTTCTCCAACCCTGTGTAAAAAATCAAAATGCAAGAATTGTTCATGGTGTCATTTAGGAATCTAGGATACTGGGTGAACTTTGCAGAGAGATACATTTGATACTAAAAGCAGTTAACGCAGTAAAACTGTTAAAGCACATATAACTAGAAAGGTAACATTTGCAAGGCAAATGCATAATGTTTACCTTCGCATATGGTCTGCTCTGTTAATTCTTAAACACATTCACTTATATAGTGACAGGAGTCTAAATCCCTCCTACTATAAATTAAAACATTATGTAACCCAACACCAGTTACCATGGTGACAGACAGCCTGGTCAACCAGGTCAGAGGTCAGTGTTTGGAATGGAAGAAGAAAAAGATACAGAGCAAAAACAATTTGTTTTCCTTTGGTAACATAAATATATATTACACACATACAGTACCAAAAACATACCCTTCTAGCAAAGGTATTTCCAAACCTACCAGGTGTAGTATAGCAAGTGTGGCTGTGCTGTGTGGAGGAGTCCAGTGTGGACACACCCAAGTCATGGTCCAGTACAGCTGAACTCTCTACACACAGGGTTTGGACAGACTCCGGCGGGGGATGGGGCTCCTGCAGTCAAATATAAACAACAATTTGGAGACCCTGGAATGAAATACAGTCAAACCTGTCCAAGCCGGCCACCCAGGGGACCACAGAAAAGTGGCCACCTTGGACAGGTGGTCTCCTTGAAGAGGGTAATCTCACATGACTGAGACATAAATGGTTTCCAAGTCAAGATATTCTAATGTCAAATGATGAGGGTGGCACATGGAACAATTTAACTCGAACAAAAACATCATCCAGCAGTCAAGGAAAACTGGTTGGTTTCCTCCTGATTTCTCATCAGTGAGTGTTATCATTGATAATCAACATGATCAAAAATGATGTGGTCACCATGGGCAGGTATCAAGCCTTGAGCGGACCCAACTCAGGGTGGTTGTGGTCGCGTTAGAGAGGTGGTCACCTTGGACAGGTTGCTTAATGCTTGTGTCAATGGGGAAATTTTTTGGGACGAGAAAAAGCGGTCACCATGGCCAGGTGGCCTGCTTGAAGAGGTGGTCTGCTTAGCACTGGTTTGCCTGTAATGGTTTCTGACCAGGTATGATCCATACTTTCTCAATTCTAAGTGATGCAGGTAAAGCTTGTCTGTTGCAAGTGATTTTCAGTGTTACCAGTGTAGGTATGTAGAAAAAGTATGTCTGCACATTGGCCACTGAGAGCCGTTAATTTTTATTTTTTATTTTACATGAAAATGTACATGATAAAGGGGCTGACCTCTCCGACAACTGGCAGCCTCCGGCGTGGGAGTTTCTTCTGTTTCTGAGGACAGGAGTCTACCTGGATGTACTCCATGGAGTCCTGGCTGGGAACTGGGTAGGGAAATGGACGCTTGATGGACGAGGGTGGTGTGGGCAGGACCAGGTCACTTGATGATACACTGGACATACTCATCCAACATGGTGTACTGGTCTTTACTTGTTTGCCTGCATTTGACAACAGACAATTTACAAATAACATCATCCACAGGATCTCCCTCGGGCCATCTGTCCCGTGGTCAGTCACTGGTACCTCGTCTGATACCCCTGCTTACCTGGATGAAACTTGAAACTTTTATTTCAAATGCCACATAGCAGACAAAAGTCTGAATTGCGTCAGCATTTACAAACCTTTGTGCTCGTTTTGTAATAAACAAAATATGGGTATTTACAGTTAAAATTGTCCTCATCAGTAAGTTCTTAATTTCTATATACAACACATTGACATCTCTTACCGATTAAAAAAATCAATTACCTACTACAACTTGTAGAGAAAGGTAGACTGATAAAAAGATTAGTGCAGGGTAAACATCAAATATGGAGATTCTAAATGCAAAAAGTTTGTTTACAGTTCAAAGTTCACTGTTCCTTGTTGAGGTTTACAAGGTATGGGATGGGAGAGTTTTTCAGTCTGTTGGTCCGACAGAGGTGCGTTCAGTTTCTGCTTGTTGCGAGTGTTCCGATCAGATATTTCTCCCCCTCAACCTCGGAAACCTTCATGTCTAATCTTCATCGACGAATGTTATTAGCATTTAAGTTTTTTTTTTTTTAACAGAAAATGTGACCATACAGAACTTTCTATAGTAGGATTAGGAATGATTCAAGTTCAACCCAAATCTGACCTGATGTTGACCAACACTGCCCGGCTGCACCGCTGGACACAACCGGAGTGGACCCAGGAGTCACCATGTTCATGTGTGAGTGTTGATGAATGGGATGCTGGGTAGCTGCTCTCCTCAATAAACCACCTGTGACTGGGGTACAGTCTGGAGTCTCCATGACGGGTGGTTGTGCCTTGTTTCCTCGGTGGAAAGGAGTGAAGTTGGGTGTGCTGACTGGTGTGAATACGGATGTGTCGGGATGGTCAGTACTGAAGGTAGAGAAGGTCTGGGGTGTACTGGTGTCCACTCCTGAGGCCCAGCTGATAGTGGCTGCAGTGTTCCACCACACATTCGGGCCGGCTGCGCTGGACACGTTTGGATGCCTGCCTGCTGCCCGACCGGTCCCTGCTACACCCTGAAACACAGTAAAACCTGGCTGAATGTACAATAGTAGGGCTCGATATACTGGGTGCATGTACACCTTATGGGCAAAAAATATCATTTGGCCTGCGTCGTGTGTAGTTTTCCTCTGACACATCTAAGGTGACCAAAGGAAAATTGCCCCTCACCAGTGGAGGGCTTGTTTACACGCTCAAAAAATCTGTTGCGCCGCCGCGTGTCGTTGACGCAGGCCAAATGATTCATTTTTGCCCCGTGTAAATTGGCCCTCAGTGCACCCATATTTGGAGCTGTGCACCCAATATTTTTGGGGGTGGGTGCACCAGTAATACTTTAGTAGTGTATACAGCACATGTATTCTTATTAATCTTAATATCTGTCAGAAAAATAAGAAAATAATTGTTGTAATACTTTTCTTTAGAAATGAATCATACTTTGTTTTTTTCTGACATTATATATTTCTACTTACTATTATTTTTATATGGTGCACCCAAAAATTTTTTGTGTGCACCCAATTTTTTTAGTCTAACTGCTCCAGTGCAGTTGTACCCAAAAATAACTCTTGAGCCCTGAATATATAGGTTGTTAGAATTGGGCAATAATGTTACATCTTAATTATAAGGTACTGTCATGTTCATTGTACATGCCACATGCATGTTAATAGTGGTGCATACCGGTTCACTGGACTTGGATCCGGACTTGTAAGAATATTTAGGTTCAAGTCCAAAAAAACCTAAACGTCAAGAACCAAGTCCGGACTTATTACCATAAAAGTCCATTTCACATACCCCTTTTCTTTCCAAACCACCTAAAACCTTCCGTAGATTGCAAAATCTTTGCTGCAAACTGAAGAAAACATTGCCATCGGGCATCGCCAAGTACCGGCCTCCATGTTATGTGGCCAAAGTTTCACCCAGACAACATTGCATTGCAAGGTAGCAACATGCAATTTTGTATATGCCATGGGCTTAGGTCCGGACTTTCAAGTCCGGAACTGAACTTAAACCTCTGGACTTGAATCCGGACCTGAACCTAAAATTGGGTTTAGGTATGCAACACTATGCATGTACTATGTTTTGTTGGTCTTAAGAATTTATTTTCAGTGATGCTGGTGGCTATGACAAGACAACTGAATGTTGTACATACAACAAATGCTCAGCCGTTGTGATCTAAGATGAATATGTACGTAGTCAAATTACTGGAAATGACCACTTCCACAAGACCATTTGCTTTTTTAGATGACCACTTTTTGTCAGTCCTGAAAAATTTGCCTATAGACATTAAGAATTTTGCCTAAGCCGATCATTCGCGTGGGGCCCATATGCGACCAAAACTCTGCCTATGGAGACAACTTCAGATAACCCGGGCACAAAGTGCACTATTTCTTTACTAGTATTGACTCTCCTTGGTGTCTCTTTTTCAAGCCAAGCCAATATTGAAATGAAAATATATTTTTTGAAGAACAAAGATTCGAAAATGGTGGATGAGATGCCCAACAACTTTCTATTAAGTATTCAGCTTTACAGAGCAATGCTCCAATTTTTAAATTCAATTGGTATATACATGTATATTGCACAGTATCACTATTAATGTTTCTGTATGCTTACCAAATACCAAAAATTTAAATTTAAAGGACATGTACTTTGAAATCTGTGTCTGTCTTGTCACTGTGACTCTTTGTAAGACCACTGTCTAAAAAGACTGGTTTCTATCAGTATCAGTCAGTCCTATACTCTCATCTGCCAAATAAACATACCCCCCGGAATAAACGTACCCCCCGGACAAATCTTCAAAATGTAATAAACATAACCCCCGGAATAAACGTACCCCCCGGAAAATTACCAAAATTGACGGGTAACCTGTGTCTCTTATACTAAAATGCACCCTTACTGATATACATTGTATGCACAAATCTTTAACTGTTATTTGCAATTAGGAATTTAAATAGACAACAAAGAGAGCATTTCTAGTATAAATGTACACATGTTCTTGGGAAATACATGTACATAAAGTCAAACCTGTATAGAGACATTACGACCACTTTTTGTTGGTCCCTTGAATTTTTCCCATTGACTCAAGTGTTAAGAACCTTGCTTATTGCGTCTACCTGTCTAACACGTCCAGCGCCCACATGTTTTCGGTCCCGAGACGGCCTGGGGCCGCCCAGTTCGACCACCCCACCACCAAAATGCCAAATTATCCCACTGTCTTGAGTCGAGTCGTGCGTATGTTGCGAAATGTTGGCCAAGAAAATACCACGGGTACCGGGTAATCCGGATAATAAAGAATATGGGCATGATGTGGCAGGCATGTGGCAGTGTTTTTTTTTTTTTGCTAGCGAAATGTCTAAGTGCCGATTACTCAAAAATGGCCCCTAAAAATCCCAGGGAACCATCCCAGCATATCGTAACTTGGCGTCGATTACGACAACTTTTCTTTTGGGAGAAATCCACTAAAATCAGAAAATAATGCTTCTGTAGCGACCAGATAGAGCTCCAGATATTTACTGGGCGATATTACCCGGGACTTTGTCGTAAAAATGAGCCAAAAGAGGTCATTTGGGGTTAACGGGAGGTCTCATTTTTTTACGGGAAAGATTGCGTAATATTGTATCTGATTTCATGCTTCTATTGCGATAAATCGACATCGACAAATATCATACGGTACCTAAAAATCTTAAGTATTAAATGACTTGCTTAGTTTGTTAGTTTGTTTTAATTTAGAGCTTTGAGGAGTTTGTACTTTCATAAGCACCACCCATGACAATGGAACATTCGAGAACATTCAGACAAATTTATGCATTCGGCGATCGCGAAAACTGGCCCGAAAATGACAAGTTTCTCGCTACAATACGCGTTTATAAACGTCTCCACGTTGAAGATTTGTCAATTTTTTTCACGTGTAATCGAAAAAAATTACTGATTTTCAAAAAATTAATAAACGTACCGTGCAAAATAAGAACGTACCGGATGGATGTTCGGGCAAAAAAAAATAAACGTACCGGTACGTTTATTCGGCAGATGAGAGTACATGATAATTGTCTTACTCGAATCAGACAACTTGGAATGACTGGCCCACTTCAACAGACAGCTTCAGACTTCCGTGATCACAAAACATGGTTTTACTGTTTTTATCACGTGGGGGTATGCATGCTAGATGTCTATAAATTGGTGTACATGTACTAGTAATGTTCTTTTTTACAATAACATGTAACTGCAAAACTGACCTCATTTGAATTACATGTATGGTGGAAATTATGTATGCCCACCCATGATGCGACTGCAGACATTATTTGTGATATGTGGAAATGCAAATTCATCTATTTGCTGTCTGAGCCGATTGTACAATAAAAGGCCCAAAGTCACAGAATGCAACAATAACAAGGCACGAAGTTGTGTACATGAATCTGTGTACCAGTAATTTTACTAACTACTTACAAGTAAATTTTTTGACCAGGAGGAAATAAGCAAAGAGCATTCAAAAATTTAAAATAAGGTTTCAGAAGTTGAAATTATTCAGTATCAAGTGACATACACGGTACGATGAATTATAATCATTCCCTGACTAACAAGTTACAGGGGCGAGTACAAATATAATACTACCTACCTACCTACCTAATACTAGTGGTCTTCAAAGCAGTACTGCTGAAACAAATTCTGTATCAAAAAGTTTAACTTAACTGGTATAATCATTATACAGTTAGCAACTGCCTGAAATTTCTGACTTGATACCTTGATACCGTCTACAGTCGAGTAAGTCTTTCTCGTTATATACTACCAAGGAGGCTTTCTTAACCTCCTTGGGATAAACAAGCCCAATCCCCATTATTCAGAGACTGGATGCCAGACTCGACCCCGGCTCTAGTAATTTATACTCCCTTCCTGATGGGGGAAGCCACAAGCCCCGATCCCTCTCGAGCCGGGTATCTGACTGAGAGGGTGTCTTGGAGCTAGCCTGTATATAATATTACTATAATATGGCAACAGGCTACATTATTAACTTAATACCTTCCCACAGTCGATGTTCATGGCCTCTAAAGTCCTCTGGATCTTACAGATGGGCGAGTTGACATCATGTGGTCTCGGGCACACCCGCACTGGGATCCGGGAGCGCTTCTTGCCTGCACCCGGGGCTGCTCCGCATCTCCCAGGGGCACCAGAAGCCATGGTTAGCGTCAACACCTCACACCGGGGGAGGGAAGAGGCTACAGTCAACCCCTCACGAGGGGAGGTGGGAAATGGAGATACGTCCAGAGAAAGATGACCGAGAAAAATGGCGCCTCTATACCACCGTAAACGTCAGAGAACCTGTGGAATATTTTCTCTTCCTCCTGACAAAAAACACCATAAAATATCAAATATTGTGAAAAAAGAAGTTCTCTGGTTATTGCTCTGTCCGCTGGGACGAAGAGTTTTGGCAAAACTGCTGAACAAATTCCAGAAACAAGCTTTACCTCCTGCTGACCTCGATAATTCCTTGGTCAAACACGATCTGAGATGCAAATTTAGGTTTGAAGTTCGTCACCTTTTCCCAGTTTAACCAATCACAGATGACGTGGAAAAAAACAGACCAATCAGAGAAAAGATAAAATGACGTGTGGGCCAAGCGGACCAATCAGAGACAAGGCATGGATACGCCATGGATCCATGGTCTCGCGAGATTCGTCGATAGGGGATCCGGACGTTGTTGTACTCTCCAAGCAGAGGTTTGGGTTTTTGCTTATTTTGGCGTGTTTTTTAATAGGCTTTCTCTTTTCTGCACTGGAATTTTTTACGCCAACATAAAAAAATTCATTGCAAAAAAGAGACCCCGATACAAAAGCCTTAAAACACGCCAAAAATAAAAATGTTTGCTTGGAGAGTAGTGGAGGCTTTTGTCTTGACTCTATCATGACGTCAACGGTGTGAGTCATCCCCCAAGGCAGAGATTAATAGCTGCATTCCAAAAACGTGTTATTCCAAATCATGATTTGGAATGGACCACGTTTTGGAATGCAGATGCATTCGACTTCGTTTTATTCCAAATCATGATTTGGAATGGAACACGTTTTGGAATAGCAGCATTAGTTATTTTATTAAATAGCCGGCCATCCTTCAACCAGCCGCCGAGAGAAGGTCGTGGGCGGAATTCAACATTGTGTCTCTCGGCGGCTGGTTCTCAAAACGCTCAAATTTGGCGCCAGGTCACGTCTGGGCAACCCTTACCATCCCATCATCCCTTGCGAATCTTACATCCGGAAGAAAGGACACCGCTAGCTGGACTTTTGGTTTGACCGGTCGATCTGCGCGTTTTACACAATTTATTTTACGCAATTGCTATCGTCTATCAGGAGGAAACAAAAAAGAAGAGACGCGTAAGGACATGCGTTTTCTCTGGACACACAGAGTCGTGTAAGATGGGATAAATCTTTGCGGAGCGGCGCCGGTTGCCTTTGTTTTGGTTGTGAATGTGATGCTGAAAATGAGCTCAGGTCCCGCCTTGTGTCCCGTTATGTGGGCAGTCAGGATGAACTAACGGGTTTGTCCAACTGGAATAAGAAGAGAAAGATGAGTGGGACGGCAGGATGGACCCCTACACACGCCAAGGTCACAGGTACGTCTGTTACTGTCCTTGTTCTATACAACGTGTCACGTTACATTTTACTATCTCCAAGCAGATGTTGGGCTGTAACGTTAACATAATTATGACAAGAGTTCCGAGATCTCATACCTCCTGTAAATTTCTTCTTTAATTACGCAAATGACCTCTGCATTAACATAATATATGCATTGTGATGTTAACTTTTGATTAACTTACAGATGTCCCAAGTATGACATTCCCCATCATTCACCATTAAGAAATTATAGAATTTTCGCATTAATTATGCAAATTAGGTCATCATTTGCATAATTAGTATCTGTTGATGTTCCATCTGCCATAGGTTACATACATTACATGTATGAAAGTACTATAATGTAAAACACTGTAATTATAGAATTTCCTCATTGATTATGCAAATAAAGTCCTCATTTGCATAATTTGCATTTAATTATGTACATCTCTCTTTCAGCTACCTACCTACAAAAAATGATGAAAATATGTTGTTCCTATCTGGACTTATTGGCTTTCAAAGATTTCGCCTGAAGGACCCCTGCAGTTCCAGAACAAGCTGCTAGGGGGACGAAACCCACACCACTTATTCCTGACAGGAAAATCTATCTGTCACCAAAAATTCAAGACCATAGCATGTTCAGGACAAGAGATACAAAAACCGGAAGCTCTGCTGTAGTACCAAGGTCATCCACCAGGAGGCCCATATTTGACCTTGACCTTCGTCTTCATAAGACTTACCAGCATACCAAATATCAATCACAATCCATAAAGGCGTTATGAAGTTATGCTGACTACAAATGTGCGGAAACACAAACACACACACAGACAGACACACACACACACACACACACACAGACAGACGCACCAAGAACAATACCTCCTATTTTTCATGGAGGTAATAAGGTATTCTACGAATTATTCGATGCAAGGAGCACGTAAATAACCATTTCGCTCACCGTTACAATATTTGTAGTTCTCTCTGGTGTGCAGTCAGCTTGGTCCTCAAAATAGTTTTGCTTGAAAATCATTTATTGTCAAACAACAATTACGATCAATATGTTTGTTTTGCACAACTACTAGTACAAATGTACGAGAAAACTGCAACATACAGTCAGTAGGGCGTATTCTAGCCATGGTGACTTTTGAATCAGGGTTATTTTGATGGTAGTTTTATATATACTGTAGTGTAAATCACGAGTTCATCGCCGTACTTTATTTATAATCATTACATGTATTATATTTGTGGGGTTTGCGGCCACTGCTATTCCGCAATTTATCATTAGGCCACACCAATGTAATTTGTTGTTTCTCTGATTTTTTTCAGAAAAAATATGAAGCGACAGGGCGAAAAAAAAACAAAAAAAAAAAAACAGGCCAAGGCACCCCATGATAGCCGGAAATGTTACAATATGAGCCATGAAGTGAATATACCAGGCTGGTTTATAATTAAAACAATAGATTTTGAACTTTTATTGAAACAAAATTGCATTGTTACATTGAAAAACTTTTCTTCCTAATTCTTAAAGTTTAAGAAGTAGAAAGAAAAGGACTTTCTTCAACCATTGGGGCCAAAATATGTCTTTGCAGTTGCAGTTGATTTAGATTATTAATTAGAACCAAAAAAAAATTTTTTTTTGCAGATCAGAAAAAAATGGACAGGGCGATCCGAGAAGCAACAAATTAAATTGGCGTGGCCTTACCACGAAAAAATAATTTTCTTTCTTCGAGTCCTGCCACCACCACGAACATATAGTTCCGCAAGCTGCAAGCATGTCAATTTTTCTGAGACTGCGAAATTTTGAACTTGATACCACGAATATAAATTGATTTACAGTATAAGAGTCGTGGAAGGTCCATTGCTGCTATCTGACATTTTTCGTTGGCTTTGTGCTGTTCTGTTTTCGTCCAGTCTCTGGGTGTCCTGAGCTTGCCTGCAATCTTACCTCAGCTTGAAAAATATATATGTCCCTTGAAGGGGTTCCCAAAAAAGACTAGGGTCGGCAGTTTTTTCTAGGGTCGGCCGGGAAACAGGAAACACAACATTTTTATTCCTTAGCCTCACAGTTAGCCAGGTTGCCGCAAGTTGGTGATGTTCAAATCGCCGATGTTCAAATCACCCAGAGTGTGACCTAAATGTAACTCTGTATACTTTACTTGGACACACTAGGCACCATCGATTGGATACTAGTTGGGAATGTCCAGAATCCATTGTCACTTCCGAAATGATCGGAAATGCTTTCGGAAATGGTCAGTAGGGACAGACAGTAGGTGTTTCAGACGATAGTACCAAACATTTACTCAGGACTGTCAGTAACCTCAACTGAAGAGAAATACACCTTATATCTATGTCATGTATGTCACAAATATAGAATTCCTATTATTTACCTCTAATAGGTATTCATAATTGAATATGTGTGTTTGCAAATGAGTGCTTATGTAACAATTCCATTTTCCAGTGTGCATAATCCTGTTGTAATTGTGTTTTTTTCCCTCATCAGTGCATCAAGCCAGGAACTTGGTAGTAAAAGGGAAAGGAGGTATGTATTTATATTATATTTTATAACCTGATTGTCTTGTATTCAAACTTTAAAACTTTATTGAGCAATCAACTTGGTAGTCACAAGGACTAAATTGTGCTGATTTTACAGTAAATTGTACATTTATAAAAGAACAATTCGTTTAAAAGATCATCAGCGTTAAAATGATAAAACATTATACAAGAATATTAAAATCTGCTCACTGCAACAACGACAACATAGATACTGAGATTTGCGGGCATTACATCATCGACAGAGTTCTAGGGATAAATGAGTTCTTGTGTCTGCAGTGTTCGAAATACCTGTCTGCAGTCTGCAATCTGCAGATAGATTTTCAAGATTGCAGAAGAAAAATACAATCTACAATTTTGCAGAAGGAAAAATAGGCTCCAGATCAATTTAGCAAACTAGAACTCTCTGGCCCCAAGGACAGACAACACTTAAGCTCATGTTTTGAAGCAACAGGAGCTTCTTCACTAATTTGCATCATCCTTGTCTTGTCTATCTTTTGTTTCCCTTTGGACTTCCAAAAATTTGTCTTCACTAATTTGCATATGACTCAATAGTCTGTGCTTATAAACCTGCTTAAATTCTCTTAGTGTCACTGACGAAAGGTAGTAGTCTGACCGTTTCAGGTAGCACCAAAATCATATCGAGTTGCTTAAGAGTTAAGTACTGTTTTTTTGGTGTGTCTTTTATTAGTATGTTGTGTGGATTGGAAGGACGATATGTGGGTGTGATTACTAGTACATTTACAGGTAAGGTATGATTTTAGTGATAAATGTTATAAATGAATGGACTCTAACTTGTACTTCAGACATTTATTTTTGTATCATAATGATGATTCATGACTCTGTTATTAGGAATGAACCATTTGTTTTTTGGTTTTGCGCAAGTCATAGTCTTATGAGACTGACTGACATATATATGATTTTAGTTCTGTATCTGTATCTGTATAGCCAGTATAACCGCCTTTCGGCGTAACACACCAGCTTCTCAGGCACGCGGCGCGGCGGCAGCCGGCTATATTACACCGATCGACTTGTTACACCTAACCCTTGAACTTCTAGCCATTGTTTAAAGCTATTTATTGACAATGCCCCTACTGTACTTGGTGACAGTGAGTTCCACTCTGCGATAGTTCTGGGAAAGAATGAATTCTTGAACACCTCAATCCTTGGTTGATAACTCTGGTACTTGAATGCGTGGCTATTTCTTGTTCTCTTCTGGGCTGGTATTACTACTATTAGGTACTTAGTAGTTGGGACATCCACCAGTTTATTAGTCATTTTGTACATCATGCATAGTCTAGACATCTTTCTTCTGTCTTCCAGTGAGGTCCACTGTAGGTTTCTTTTCATTTCCGTGACACTAGCACCTCTTACATAGTTGTTCATACAGAATCTTGCAGCTTGATTCTGTACCCTTTCCAATTTGTCTTTGTCTTTCTTTGTATATGGATCCCATACTGTCGCAGCGTATTCTAGGTTCGGTCTTACAAGTGACGTGTATGCAAGTGATTTTACTCTAGTTGGACATGCCCACAAATTACGTTTAATCACTCCCAATGTCTGTTTCGCCTTAGTTGTGATATTATTAACATGTGCACCCCACTTCAGTGCTTGTCAGCGTGCTTGTCAGCGTGACGCCCAGATACGGATGGATTTTTGTGGTTGCTAAAGCCTGACCACAAAACTGGTAGCTAGTTGCATGTGGTGTTCGTTTGTTTGTTGTGGTAGCTTGCAGTGGGAGACAGCGGTGAAAGACCCATGAAGATACCAGTAAATGATAAATTTTCTGTGGAGAAGGATCTATAAAGTCTGAAATTAAAGAGTGACAGATTAAACTGAAAAGAATTCCAGTAATGCTACAGATTTACAAAGCTATATATGATGTAGAAAAGACATTAATGGTTTGAGAAGGTTGTAGTACGGAGGCTTGTGTATTTGCAGAAAATATTTTCAAATTTGCAAATAAGAGCCTCATTTGCATGGATTGTATCAGTTGATCATATTCTCCACCCAATGACAGCCTTATCTTAATAGAAAGGCTATTATAGCACTTCATCATAAATTATGCAAATGAGGTCATGATTTGAATGAATTATGTTTATTGATGTTCGCCTTCACTTAACTTCCAAATGTGGTCTGACATTCACAACAGTTACAACTATGAATTACAAAAAATTCCAATTAGGTCTTCATTTACATAATCTTTATCCTCAGATGTTTTTTTCATTATCAAGTACATGTCACAAGTTTTTCATAGTCCTATTGTTGACCAAACAGATTTATAGAATTGCCTCATTAATTATGCAAGTTAGCCCCTGATTTGCATAATTGTCATCTGATTATGTCAAGCATCACTTCAGCTACATACATACCAAAAATCACGACAATCCGTCAACCGCTTCTTGAGTTATCCTCCTTCGAAAATTTTTCAAAAAATGCTTCATCTGTAGTTCCAGAACACGCCGCTAGGGGCCCAAACTCATGTCACTTCATCCCAACCCCAAGAGCTATCTACCAACCAAAATTCGTTACCCTATCATGTCCAGATTGCGAGATATCAAAACCAGAAGTTCTGCTGCAGTACCAACAAAAGCTGCCAGGGGTCCCAGAATCTAATCATTTCTAGGTCTCATCAAGACCTACCCACCTACCAAGTTTCATGACAATGCATACTAAGCTTCTTGAGTTATGCTGTTCACAAACGGACAAACGCTACCTTCTTGGTGAAGGTAATAATAGACCCAGGCTGCCAGTTATGACATGATTTTCCAACATCTAACAGTAACAGAGTTCTAAATTAGGATAGATTTAGTAATATACAAGAGAATTGACTGTTGTATATTTAGCTTAGTATAGTAGGCAACCTTAGACCTTTTTAGTTTCCTTTAAAAGATGATGAAATGTTTATTAGTTTGATTGATTCCTTTTTAGCTAGGATAACTCAATACTTTGGTGTGTATAGAATTGATGTCAGGTTGCCTTATAAAAAATTGCAGACACAGTTTGTGAGAGGATGAAGTGAGTGGTTGATCCTGTGAGCTTCTCCTCATTCCGCTGGGCAAAATCAATGAAACCCGAGACAGACTGTCTCCATACAGCAGACCTTATGACCTGGAGGCTTGCCAGGTTATACATCTGGGGATAGAGAAGGGCGGAATTCTTTATGATCTGATTTTCTGTCCTTAGTCAGGACATTTTTAAAGAATATATATGCTGTTTCTATAGAATATGTACTGCTGTTGATATGAAATAGAAACATATCAGCAGAACGTACTGTACCTGCATATTTAAACAATACATTCCATCTATAGTTTTGAAATCTTTTAAAGAATATATGCTGTTTCTGTAGAATATAATGTACTGCTGTTGATATGAATTAGAAACATATCGGCAGAACATACTGTACCTGCATATTTAAGCATTATAAATTTATATATTCCATCTATAGTTTTGAAATCTTGTGTTGGAATTGATATTGTCTGCAACGGACAAAATTCTGGTGCAATGTAAACGTTGACCAAACGTCCAATGAAAGCCAGAAAAATCCAGGTTAATTTCTTGGTTAACGGATTCGCCCGCTTCATTTTTTTCTGATTTGCAAAAAATGAAAAATAAAAATTCAGAATCAACTGCAAAATGCAAGTATTTTGCCCTGAACAGTTAAAAACAGTCCTTTTCTTCCTAGTTGTTACAGTTATTCCATCTTTTAATGCAATGGTATCATTAAAAGTTCAAAATTCATTGTTTAAATTTTGAACCAGCCTGGTATGTTGACTTCATGGCTCCTCATAATCATACCATTTTGGGCCATGATAGGATGCCTAGGCCAGTTTTTATTTTTATCTTTTTTTGCCCACCTACTCCATTATTTTTCAATAAAAATCTGTTAACCAAGAAATTGCCTTATGTGCAGGTGAAGTACGTTCTGTACCATATTTTTATTGTGTATGACTGTACATATCTCAATACATGATACATTACCTCCTGTGGGAGGTACTTCTGATTTTTATTTCCACCCTGAAGGCAGCCAATACATATTTTAAGCCCTGCCTGGTCCATTTCTGCTGCTTACAATGGTGACAACTTGCATCATTCATTGATTTCTGTTGGCAATCTGATTATGCTGGTGTTAAGGGACTGTGATGTGCACCACGCCACAGTAATATCCAATTCTACAGGGACCCCACAGTCAGTACAAATACTTTTTGAACCAGGTTGCCCAGTGGGCAACCTACGGCAAAAATTAGGTTGCCCATCAGAATTTTAGGTTGCCCCACCTATAAGTTACTACTTTCCTCAAATTAAGTAAATTTACATACATAAGCCTTTGACAATATTTCTAACAGCCTTTAGTTAACTGATACTAGTAATAGCCATTAATACCTAAAATTAAAAAGCATCTTCCAGATACAGTGGTGCAAGCCAAGTGGGCATGATTGGGAGGGGGGGGCATTCTTAAAATTCAGGTAGCACACTAGGCTACGTAGGTTCAAAAATAGGTTGCCCCAAGAAAAATTTGGTTGCCCGGGGCAACTGGGCAACCAGGTATTTTGCACGCTGCCCCATCTCGTCAGAATTGGAACTATTCTAGGATGTTGTTAATCATAATATGACATATCTTCTGAATACTGTTGGGTAAAATGTTTCTGCATCTGTACATATATTAACAACAAGAAATCTGAGATTCCAAACCTCCAGGAAGTATGTGATGCATGATGATCATAACAACTGCTGAAAATTTCAGATCACATTAACAGCAATGTTAACAGTAATGATACAAGAAAAAGATGGGTCAATCTTAATACACAATACAGGTGTGTGAGTTTCACACATGTAGATGATCAGTTATTCAAGATCAGTTATTCAAGATACTCTCACCTCTCGAATAAAAGTACCCCCTGGAATAAAAGTACCCCCCGGACAAATCTTCAAAATGTAATAAAAGTACCCCCCGGAAAATTTTAAAAATTGACAAGCAACGTCTATGCTCCAAAAATGTGTTCTCATGGTGTATGTATGTGTGCGTCTATATGACCTTGTCACTTTCAACTATTGACAGGTCCTGAATAAACATACCCCCTTGAATATGATTCCCCCAACAAATCTTCAAAACCTAATAAATATACCCCTAAAATAAATGTGCCCCCTGGAAAATTATCAAATTCAACAGCCTGTATTCTTACAGGCTTTTGAGGAGTATATGCATCACTTGCTGTGTAATATATATTACACTGTCATACATCAATTTTATATGACTTCTCTGCATTCATACAATTTGTTGTTGATCATTGCATTGCATACTGTATCTTACATCAGCAGGGACAGTAATATGAAGTTTTGAAATAAGAGTAGATTTTTTACAGCTTGGTAACTATCAGTAAGATTTCATTTAGAGCTCATGAAGTTGAACATATGCTTAACATAATTGCGCTATACAAATTGTGATACTAGTTTGTAAAAGCCATTTGCAAAAGAATTTATAATCATCGACAAGTATTTAATGTTAAAGTGACTTAAACATAATTATTTCTTTTTTATCTTTCCCAAATTTCCATTTATGCATTGCATATTTCTCTTTTTACCAAAGTAAATGATCAATGCTACATCATAATCATAGTTAAAACAAATGGCAACATTGTAACACATTGCATTTCACAACAGTCCAGAGTCAAGGGTTTTATGTTACCCTGCTACGCTTTGAAGTGTGTCCAGTGAGTATGCAAATGAGCAGAGGCGGGGCTTCAAGTTTAGAACTCAGTTCTTAGAGAAAAAACTGAGACATTCTTTTTGAAGGGGGGACACTTTTTGCAAAATATTTCTCTGTGAAAGTTCATACATTAGACTGCAATTATACTCCTGTTTTTGGTCTTTTACATGATAATTAGCTTTGTTAATTGCAAATTGCTTTTGTCTATATTTGAGAAAGAGTTTTATCTATAATTACAAAGAATATAAATAATTGCCCCCCCCTACAAAAAATGAGCTCTGCCGACCGTGAGAAACTGCATGTTTACGTATTTCACTGCATGAGAATTGGACTTTTTCCAGCGCTAAATTTTCATATTTGTGGTAGGATTTTCGACTTTTTGAGAGTATCACATGTTGTAATTGCTAGAATGCATTGTTTTGTGGTATTATTTTAACATAGTCCCAAGAAAAAGATCGTTCTGACCAAGGAGTTTTGAGTGAGATGTGTGTGCATGTTGCGTGAAAAATGTTGCAAATTTTTCTTTACATAACGCCCGTTATAATTCATATTTTCAACACAATATGTGTTCCCAAATATAATTTACATGTAAAAGGGAGGTAATATGTTCTTAGACTTGCCGTGATTTTGAAAACTTCGTAAACGTACCGTGCAAAACAGAACGTACCGGGACATTTTCAATTGCTGTCGGCTGGGAGAAGTGGTGTTTTTTTTGTCATTTTACGTTCAGGACCGCAAATTTTCCCGGAACTTTTCCGATTTTGAAAAAAAAGAAATAAACGTACCGTCTAAAATAAGAATGTACCGGGTGGATTTTGAGGCGAAAAAAAATAAACGTACTGGTACGTTTAATAGAGAGGTGAGAGTATGTAAGTGTGTACGTGACCAGAGAGTTCAGAGCAGAGCAAACCATAGTACAGTCAAACCTGTACTAGCGGTCACCTTGAGAAAGCGGTCACTCGGCCATAGCGGTCGGGTTTTGCCGGTCCCTTGAATTTTTCCCATTGACGTAAGCATTAAGAATTGTACCTATAGCGGTCACCTGTTCAACGTGGTCAGCGGTCACCCCATTCCGGTCCCGCCGGCTATCAATATCGCCGATAGCGGTCACGGCTGACCGTGACCCGCGGCCGCTAGCACCACGGCCGGCCGTGACGCCACGTCCCCTCGGGGTATGGCCGTAAATTATAATGAACCTTGTGATGATTTTCCGGCCGCCAGAGTGGATTATAACTGTGCCTAAAATTATGGGACGGAACTTCGATTCATAATTTTCTGCTCCTTGCTTCTGTAGCTTGCGTTTGGTTACCGACAATAAACCTCCTCGTTATCGGAAGACCTGACATTGAACCGTTTGATTTCTAACAATTTTTTCATGCATGAACTTGGAAAGCGCATTTTTAAAAATGAAATAAAGTTCGTTCTCCAGCATTTGCCCCGTAAAACACAGCGTTACCATGTCATTAATGCGCCTCGCGCCGTGCGAGTGGGAACAAGGCGCCATGTTGGGTCGGCTGGAACATGTGCTGTATGCAAATCTTGCATGACGTATTCGTACTACGCATTTCTGATTGGTTTACGTAACTGTATTACGTAGTTCACCTCAAATAACCTCTGCTCTGATTGGTTGCATTGCATTGTGGGTCAGCACTACCGCGTACCCCAAAAAATGTAAATCTTACGATAGTTGTATGCCGAAAATAAGACAAAGAACGCTGTTATTTGCGACTACATAACGACCTCCAAGTACAGAAGTACATAATCAAAAGAATTTTTACGAAAATATAATTTTGAATGCGGGTTTGTAGTTCGTTTTGCGTATTTTTGACGGTGAAAACAAACCCGGAAGTGTGTGGGAGACGCGGCGTGGGTTTGCATAAAAAATTTGCCACGCTATTTTTAGCGTTTTACAACCAAAACAAAAGCAAAACTTGTAATAAAGTGAACCCGATAAAATCTTATATCCTAGCGACTATGTTTTCTGCAAAATATTTTGGATAAATTATAAATTATCGCTATTCGGGGCGCTACCATGACGGGGATTATTATGGCCGTAGGCTTGATTCCCGATTACAGTATCAAAACAGTCAAAAATCATTAGTGCTGATATCTTACGATGCAAATTTAAGACTACTTTTTATTTTTTAATAAAAGGACCGACTAAACGGACCGACTTTTCTGTTGATTACCACATTGGCATAATGGCAGAGGCAAGACTACCGACGCTGGAAGAAACCCAAGCCGACGTAAACAAAGGAAACTTGCCGCTACGTTTTGATGTCCAAAAACGATCGGAAACGAACTGAAGAAAGAAATTTTACAACTTTTGTGGCGTGTGTTGGTCACGCGAAGCACTCACCAAAGATCAAAAAACATCGCGATACCGGTCTCTTCAGACAATTTTAATTGTATAAATATTTTTAATGTATAAATTTGCACATGTAGTTTAGTGTCAAACTTTGTTGGTTGACTTCTTTCTTTCTTTAGGCACATGAACACATGTTCATGTCAAGTACTAGTACATGTAAATGACAATCATTGATTCTGTATCTTTTATGAGAATGCTTTTATAGTGATGTAATGTTTTCATGAGAATAAAGGCATTTTTGTTGGTACTGAAATCGTGTCACTTGTGTGTGTGTGGGGGGGGGTGGCAACTAAACGGCATTTTCTCTATAGTGGTCACCTGGCCATAGTGGTCAGATTTGGCCAGTCCCTTGAGTGACCACTATAGGCAGGTTTGACTGTAGTCTTGAGATAACTTACTATCACCTACCATCCCAAACAAGCAAAAAATAAATAAAAATGCTCATTAGTTTGTTAGCATCATAAATCCCAAGGATAGAAAAAATTTGCCTACAATACCCACAATGTTGTACAGCATAACATATTATATGTTACATACATGTAGCTACTCAGATGGCATTGTATGTATCCAGATCAATGGTTGTGGCAGGTACAATTTCTGATCTTTAATTATATGCTAATAAAGTTGGCTTTTTTCTCCAGGTACAAACGATGCATATGTCACCATCACACTGGGGAAGGAGAAATTCCTGACATCTGTCGCTGAGAAGACTGTCACCCCAGGATGGAACGAGGAGTGTGACTTGTACGTACTTACCAAGGCAAAAAAGTCTAGTTACTGTCATTCAGTACCAAGTAAGTGTGATGTAGCTGCCATCAAGTATCAAGAACAGTAAGGATGACATACATGTAGCTGTCACTCAGTACCAAGCTAGAACAGTAAGGGTGATATAGCTGTCATTCAGTACCAAGAACAGTAAGGATGATTTAGCTATCATTCAGTACCAAGAATAGTAAGTGTGATGTAGCTGCCATCAAGCATCAAGAACAGTAAGGGTGATATAGATGTAGCTGTCACTCAGTACCAAGCTAGAAGTTCAACAGTAAGGATGATTTAGCTGTCATTTCAGTACCAAGAATAGTAAGTGTGATGTAGCTGCCATCAAGCATCAAGAACAGTAAGGGTGATGTAGCTATCATTCAGTACCAAGGACAGTAAGGGTGATATAGCTGTCATTCAGTACCAAGGACAGTAAGGATAATTTAGCTGCCATTCAGTACCAAGAACAGTAAGGATGATTTAGCTGTCATTCAGTACCAAGAATAGTAAGTGTGATGTAGCTGCCATCAAGCATCAAGAAAAGTAAGGATGATTTAGCTGTCATTCAGTACCAAGGACAGTAAGGGTGATATAGCTGTCATTCAGTACCAAGGACAGTAAGGGTGATATAGCTGTCATTCAGTACCAAGGACAGTAAGGGTGATATAGCTATCATTCAGTACCTAGGACAGTAAGGGTGATATAGCTAGTCATTTCAGTACCAAGAACAGTAAGGATGATATAGCTATCATTCAGTACCAAGAACAGTAAGGATGATATAACTGTCACTCAGCATCAAGGACAGTAAGGAGGATATAGTTGCCATTCAGCACCAAGATCAGTAAGGGTGATATAGCTGTCATTCAGCACCAAGGACAGTAATTCAGCACCAAGGACAGTAAGGGTGATGTAGCTGCCATTCAACACCAAGGACAGTAAGGTGATATAGCTGCCATTCAACACCAAGGACAGTAAGGGTGATGTAGCTGTCATTCAGCACCAAGGACAGTAAGGGTGATGTAGCTGTCGTTCAGTAATCAGTACCAAGGACAGTAAGGGTGATATAGCTGTCATTCCGCACCAAGGACAGTACGGGTGATGTAGCTGTCATTCGCCACCAAGGACAGTAAGGGTGATATAGCTGTCATTCAGTACCAAGGACAGTGACAGTAAGGGTGATATAGCTGTCATTCGGCACAAAGGACAGTAAGAGTGATGTAGCTGTGACAGAGATACATGTAGGAGGGGGAGTTCAGCAGTTTTCTAACACTGGCTGTTCTCTCACATTGCAGGTGCCTGGGTAACTACAGTGGAAATCTCGATGGGGCATCTGTTCAGCTGAATATCTACCATCGCAGCTTATTTGGCAGCGATGATTTTCTGGGTCATGTGACACTCCCTCTGACAAACATGCGTGTGACCAATGGACCACTCAGAAGGTAAGCAGCACATTAACATACAGGGATCGAAATAATGGGTGCATGTGCACATTAGTGCACCCAAATTTGGATCGGTGCACCCAATTTTTGACTGTGGGTGCACCGGTGCACCTAAATATTTTTGTAGTATTAAGTACGGTAAAGGTACAAAACACTGTAATTCCAACATTGCTGTGATGGAATAAAATAATAAAAAACATTTGATGCACTGCTTGTTTGAAATTCTTGAGATAGAATTAGGTTTACTTCCGTTTTTAAAGCCCGAAAATGTGTCGGCGCAGTGCCGACATCGCGTTACCCACCAACTTCCGGATCCCGACTACAACACTGGACAAGAGATCTCTTCTTTCTCGTTCCCCGGTTTCTTGATAGTCATGTGACCAAAACATCGCGAACTCGCTTCCGGAACTTTCCGACGCTTTTTGGGAGTTACCTCGGGGACATGTCATGTGACAAAATGTTGTTTTCGTGCATTTTTCGCTTGACTTCGGTAATCTTCGAGGTCACATCGTCAAAACCCGGGTGTCGACAAAATTCGGCCATGAAATTCGTGGATGACAAAGCAAAACAAGTATGTCGAGACAGACTTCGCTTCTACGGTTCCTTCAGCCGAGGTCCGATCGTGATGACGACGAAAGAGATGTGGCAACAACATCAGCCCAAGCTCTTTAAAACCCCCAAGGAAGCGATGAAGCTGGAAACCAACGGGAAACACGCCCGGACAAGCGAGAAGTGGACAGACCGTGCCGTGGGAGCGCCGAGACAGAGGGGGAGGGGGGCGGCCATGTGCTCTCGGCAGCAGACAACACTCCCGGGCCCTCCCGAGCTCCTTCCGTGTCCAGTTCCGGGTCATCAGAGTCGGATTCCGAAACCGAATCAACCGAGGAAATATGTGGTGCACCCAAATTTTTTTTGGTGCACCTAATATTTTTGGTTAGGTGCACCAGTGCACCTAATCAAAAAAATGAATTTCGATCCCTGACATACCACCACTGTATCAACTAGCACTTGCCCTTACTTGATAGTTTCCATCCTCAGGCCTTTGCTTATACAGTATATTGGTCAATGTTCAGGGCTCGAAATTCATTTTTGGGAATAGGTGCACTGGTGCACTCAACCTAAAACATTAGGTGAACAAAAAGACTGAGGCTTTGTGTGATTTTTTTTTTTCATTTCTAGATTTTTTTAAATATTTTTTTTCGATCTCGGAATCCTAATTTGCCTTTTTTTCGGTAAAATCATTACTGTGTTATTTCCATAGCGATGCAATTTCCACTCTTGCTACGATCATTTTTAGCATTCTTTACGTGTGGAATATTAATTTGATATTAGTAATATTTAACTTATTAATGTACTACTGGAAATATGTGGTGCACCCAAATTTTTTTTGGTGCACCTAATATTTTTGGTTAGGTGCACCAGTGCACCTAATCAAAAAAATGAATTTCGATCCCTGACATACCACCACTGTATCAACTAGCACTTGCCCTTACTTGATAGTTTCCATCCTCAGGCCTTTGCTTATACAGTATATTGGTCAATGTTCAGGGCTCGAAATTCATTTTTGGGAATAGGTGCACTGGTGCACTCAACCTAAAACATTAGGTGAACAAAATTTTGTTTGGGTGCACCAAATAAAACAAAACCTAATTACAGATCTTACTGCTTCTCTTCTGAGCTGGAATCTAAAATGAGAGCTAACTTCAAAATCTGAAACATTACTACAACAAAGATTTTATTATTTTTCTGATATTTAGAGACCAAGAATATCCGGTATACTATTATACACTTCTCATGTTAAAAATTCCTACAAAAATATTTGGGTGCACCAGTGTACCCACAGAAAAAAATTAGGTGCACAACTCTGTTTCAATTTTGGGTGCACTAAGGTGCACATATGCACCCAGTATTTTGAGCCCTGACATACCACCACTTTATCAACTAGCACTTGCCCTTATATTTTTACCTTCGCCAAGAAGGTTATGTTTTCAGAGGCGTTCGTGTATGTGTGTGTGTGTGTGTGTGTAAACACGATAACTTGAGAAGGCCTTGAGGGATTGTCTTGATACTTGGTAGGTAGGTAGGTCTTGATGAGACCTCAAAATGATTAGATTTTGGACCCCCTAGCGTCTTGTTATGGTACTGCAGCTGAACTTCCGGTTTTGATATCTCATGATCTAGACATGCTAGGGTGACGAAATTTAGATGGTAGATAGCTCTTGTGCTGGGGAAGAAGTGACGTGAGTTTGGGCCCCCTAGCAGCTTGCTCTGGAACTGCAGGGCTACATGTTTGAAATTATTCAAAAGAGGATAACTCAAGAACCGGTTGACGGATCGTCGTGATTTTTGGTATGTAGGTAGCTTACGTGATGCTTGATATAATTATGTGACAATTATGCAAATATGGATGTAATTTGCATAATTTATGGAGAAATTCTATAAATCAGCTGTATTCCATGATAGGACTATTGAGGCTTGTGAAATTGGTAATTGAGAAAAAGAGAAACACAGGCAGATATTGATTATGTAAATGAAGACTTAATTTGCATAATTAATGAGAAAATTTTATAATTATGCAATGCTAACTGCCTGGAATTTCATACTTGTGATATTTGAAACATAAGTGAAGGTGAACATCATTAAACATAATGTATTCAAATCAGGACCTCATTTGCATAATTTATGAGGAAATGCTAAAATGGCATTGTTTGTTAATATAAGACTGTCCTTTGGTTGAGAATATGATAAAATGATATAATTCATGAAAATGAGGATCCTATTTGTTATATCAGGGGGGAATAATCTATAATTTGGCAGTCATAAAGATTAACACCATTTGGCGAAGGTATGAGATCGGGGAACTCTAGTTACTTAATAGTTTTAATCCTCGGGTCTTTGCTTATACAGTATGTTGGTCTATGGTAGTTCTAAAACTGAGCACATCAGCAGAATGTACTGCACCATGTACTATTGGGAACAGGATTGAACTTGTTTCATTGGGAGCTGTAACCATAAAACCATGACAGTGACATAATGCAGTCAAAATCCCAGGCCAAATTACCCCATGAATCCTGTGTGTTCCCAGTATTTGACACCAAATGATTCTGCCATATATGCTTTGATTTCAAACTTACAGATGATACTGAAAATGTATTTCTTTCCCTTTTAGACATATCACAGTCTACTCTCATAAAATAATGATTCTATTTGGTATATGCTGTGAGAAAATATAGTTTTCTCTCTACCTGCACAAAGATACAAAATGTATTACATGTACATGTACATGTAGGAACAATGATTGTCATCTTATCTGTGGGCTTGTGTTATAGCCTTGGCTACATGTTAGGGCTCGAAATACTGGGTGCATGTGCACCTTATAGTGCACCCAAAATTGAAGCTGTGCACCCAAATTTATTCTGTGAGTGCACTGGTGGGTTTTGTAGGTCTTTTTGTACATATCAAATGTATAAATTATAATAGTAAGCATATTCTTGGCATCTAAGTGTTAGAAAAATAATAAAATCTTTGTTGTCGTAGTTGTTTAAGATTTTGAAGTTTAGCTCCCATTTCAGATTCAAGCTCAGAAGAGGCCTATGAGCAGTAAGATTCATTTTATATGGTGCACATAAAAGTTTTTTGTGCACCTAATTTTGTAGGTTGGGTGCATGAGTGCACCTATTCCTAAAAATGAATTTTGAGCCCTGATGTGATATTTTCATGGTTCCTTCAGGTGGTATGAACTCCATAACAGACCAGGAAAGAAGGAGACCAAGAAGCGTGGAGAGCTGGAAGTGTCGGTCAGTTTCCTGAGGAACAGTCTGGCCAGCAGTACCAGCGAGCTGAGTGGGAAGAAGAAGGTCAAACGTACTCCGTCCATCAAGGGCATGGCCACTACCATGGGTCAGTCAACAACACTGGACATCACAGCAGCAGCAGAATTATTATTTCTTTCTATTATTTATGTATTTATTATTCATTTATTCTTTGTGCTCAGAACATAATTTTGAGTCATTCATTTTGACCAAACATTTGTTTTTAATGACCCCATCGTACTGCTCCCGAACAAAACTTATTCTTGGTACAATAATAACTCTAAGATGTAAAATGTGTATGTTGTTCGTGATGTACTTGTAACGGTGCAAGGCAACGTGACTACCTGGTACTCCACATGATTTTATCGTACCACCAGATTACATTTATTTTGTACCTCTAACTTCTCTCATAGCATCACCGTCTTCTGCCCCAACTTTGGTTTGCTTTCCATCGCATTTGTACTGAAATAACTGGACGCTGCTTGAGATCACCACATTTTAAACTGAACTGGGTGGAAAGTTGCTTGAAGACCTTTGAAACCTCGCTGTTCGCAAATATTTTTCGTTGTTCCACAGGATTGCGCGCTTGCCTTGGGTTTCAAAACACAATTTACCTGGATTTACAAAGGAAAAACAAGATTGAAGCACTAGCTGCATGTAGAAATTTGTCTGAAATCCCAGTTGACACTTTTTGTCCTCACGATCGTGAGCTTGGATTGTTTCAAAACACAAAGGAAAATCAAGTTTAGAACAATAGCGGTAGCGAGAAAGTTGTCTTTTCCCCGCACAAAAGTAAGCTGTCCCTATGACCCGACATGACCTTCTCGGTGCCATCTTTAATCCCAACTTGTGGTGGTCGCGGTCACAGAAGACATGTGGACTATGGAGAAAAAATTCAGGACTGGCATAAACAGGTCATCTTAGGCTGATGGTGGTTTTATGGACATGGTCGTTGGACCAAGTTTGACTGTATTTTTTAGTAATCTTCATCAAATGTCATCGTGTTCTCAGGAAATCATTGCAAGAATTTTGAGTGGGCTTTCTTGTACCAATACCATGTAGGTGAGAAGTTGAAGCTTGTCCGCACCATGTCTCTCACGTCAGACCCACGTGCGCTCAGACCGCGGTCTCGGAAAGACTCAGCATTCTCGGAGGCTTCTGTCAACAACAACCACACTCCTGTAGGCACACCAGATAACAGAACTCACAAGGTACATCATGTAGTACATTTAGTATGATATGTACAGGTTTCATGCTGTGACTTACATCTTGTCCTTAGGCCACACCAATTCAATTTGGTGCTTCTCAGATCGCCCTGTCCATTTTTTTCTGATTTGCAAAAAAAATAAATTTTTTTGGGTTCCAATAACTGCAAAATGCTCAATGAAAGACATATTTTGGCCCCAACCTTTGAAAAAAGGCCTTTTCTTCTTACTTTTTCAGTTTTTCAATGTAACTTTGTTTCATTACCTTCGCCAAGAAGGTTATGTTTTCAGAGGCGTTCATGTATGTGTGTGTGTGTCCGTCCGTCTGTAAACACTATAACTTGAGAAGGCTTTGATGGATTGTTTTGATACTTGGTAGGTGGGTAGGTCTTAATGAGACCTCAAAATGATGTGAGTTTGGGCCCCCTAGCGGCTTGCTCTGGAACTGCAGGACTATCTGTTTGAAAATATTCAAAAGAGCATAACTCAAGAAGCAGTTGACGGATCGTCATGATTTTTGGTATGCAGGTAGCTTAATATAATTATGTAACAATTATGCAAATATGGATGTAATTTGCATAATTTATGGGAAAATTCTATAAATCAGCTGCATTCCATCATAGGACTATGAAGCTTTTGACATTGGTAATTGAGAACGAGATAAACACAGGCAGATATTGATTATGTAAAAAAGACTTAATTTGCATAATTAATGAGAAAATGTTATAATTCTGTAATGATAACTATCTGGAATTTCATACTTATGGTATTTGAAAGTTTATTCAAGGTGAACATTATTTAAACACAATGTATTCAAATTAGGACCTCATTTGCATAATTTAAGAGAAAATGCTAGAATGGCATTGTTTGTTAATATAAGACTGCCTTTTGGTTGAGAATATGGTAAACTGATATAATTCATGAAAATGAGGATCCTATTTGCACAATCAAGGGGAATAATCTATAATTTGTCAGCCATAAAGATTAACATCATTTGGCGAAGGTATGAGATCAGGGAACTCTAGTTAAAAGTTCACATCTATTGTTTTAATTATAAACCAGCCTGGTATGTTCACTTCATGGCTCATATTGTAACATTTCTGGCTATCATGTTTGTTTGTTTTTCGCCCTGTCGCTCCTGATTTTTTTCTGAAAAAATCCAAGAAACAACAAATTAAATTGGTGTGGCCTTATCCTTTGGTACATTTTTCGCATTAGACTGTCTACAAATATGTCTTTAACTGCCAATTTAACTGTTACTACAAATTCAGAATTTGGCTCTCACATGTACTGTAATGCAAGGGCACTTCCATTAACCCAGTACTTTTTATTCAAGACAACAGTTGTGTCGTAGAAAAGTCTTGGAAAATAATATTTCACAGAGTAGAAGTCTTAGTAACCATTCAACATTCAGTTTCTTCCTCTGTACTCAATAGACTTAGAATACTTTTTTTTATCTGGTCACTAAGTCCAAAGTGCTGGTACAAGTAATTGGTAGAATGTACACAGTTGTTCCTGTCTATTCCACTGTACCAGTTCTAGGTAGAACATACTTGAACATTGGCTGTTCTGTAGCATAAAGTACTAGTAGAACATACACATGAACAGCTGTTGACTGCTCTACAGGATGAAGTACCAGTGCTAGCTAGAATGTATTTTAAATGTTGGTTGTTCTATAGGATGAAATACCTTGTGTAGTGCTAGGTAGAATGTAATGTAAATGTTGGTTGTTCTACAGGATGAAGTACCAGTGCTAGCTAGAATGTATAAACACCATGAAGAGTTGTTGACTGTTCTACAGCATGAAATACCAGTGCTAGGTAGAATGTATATAGTACAGTAAATGTTGGTTGTTGTAGAGGATGAAATACCAGTAGTACATGTAGGTAGAATGTTGTATTGTATACATGTACATGTATGTAAATGTTGGTTGTTGTACAGGATGAGGTTGTGCGGTCCAGCTTGCCTTCTTCACCAGCCATTTCTCAGGAAAGTCTGGCCAGTAATGACAGTGAAGTGTTTGGGAGCAGTAAGAAAACTGCCAAGTTCTCACTCAGGAATGCCAGCCTGGAGAAGCTGCAGGTTGGTTCTTCTCCACTATCTTCAGGAAAATTTGAGGAATTTTTTCCCCCTTATTTTTATCACTTTGTACCTCAGATAGTTAAGTTTTGTTTCACCTCCACCACTGGCTGTACTTAGCCGTACACCTTGATCTCACCTAGACATTATACCCCTAGAGGGTCTTGATCCAGTATTTATAAAATCAAGACTTATCCTGCAGTGCACAACAATTGTTGTTCTGCACATACATAACACCCTGTATAGGTAGGATTTTGGGGGATTTCTTGTGCAACGCATCACACCGCAGCGAAACGCATTGTGTGCAGAAGTAACTATGCAAAAAAAAGTGGGGGTCTATGATCTAATTAAGACATGAAATTATTGCAAAATAATGTGCCAGGAATGCCAGCAGGACAAGGGTTAAGAAGGAACTTGTACAAATATATGTTTGACAGCAGTTTGTATTGGTATAAATTAAAGATGTGTGGAATATATGCTCAACAGGCACTGTGATGCAAATGCATGATCCTGCCACACTATGCAAGATGGAGTGTACAAACTTCAGTTGGCAAAAATAGCCATTACAAAGCATATTACATGTATATGTATCTTCGAAAATAGCCATTACATTTACAAAGCATATTACATGCATCTGAAATCATGTGAAAAAGATGGAAGACAGATACCATACTGTATTTTTCCAGAACATTGTCAATTTGTTGTTTGTGAATATGTGCCATTGCAATGAATACTAAACTGTCTTACGATACAAAGATTTTTAGAGTAGATGCTATTTCTGTATTGGAATCAAACTGAGTTAGATCACTAACTCTGTCCTGTTCACCTGGTTCAGACCAGTTCTCCTGGCAAGACAAAGCACCACCGCACCTTCAGTCTGGGGCCGCTGTCTGCCAGACTGCTGCACAGAGACAGAGCTGGGTCCAGCCCTGCCTTACAGAGAGAGAGGCACATGTCCTCACCTGAAGCAGTCCACACAAAACAACTAGCAGAAGACTACCTGGGTAATCTTTCTCGTCCCTAGTACAACAAGACTGGTGTAAATGAAAACATTGCCATGGCAAAGGTGGTTGTTGTTTGCATGACACTGCCATGATTTCATGATTTTGAGGAAGCCTTGGTACACTACCCTCCCCAAAGTGTATAGTAAACGAGCCCCGGGGTGACAGAAAGTAGAGCACCGGGGCAGACAGGTTTTCCCAAAGGTTTCCAGGAATGTGGGCATGTCAACAAACAGAGCTGGGAGACATTCCTTGCCTGTGGACAAAATTCCTGTACAAATCCTAGAATTCTTGCAAAATGCACACAATACTGTACCATTAGGCTCCTCCCTGAGACGTCGCCAAAAAAATGTACTGCTTGAGATATACCCGAATAATTTTGCTAAACATACCCTATTTTTGTTGCCATTTGAATTTGCTGTTGATTGTGCTGACATGTGAAAATCTAGAATGGGAGGAAAAACCACTAAGAAAGACGACTGTAAATCATTTCATGTTCACAGCAGCAAAAGGTAGTGGTCTGAGAAAAATGGATGTGTGCAGGGTGGCGGAAGGTGCAGAAAAAAGAAAGCAAATTATTTGTTAGTGGTTATGATAAGATTGCAGTATGGAAGTGACCACGAAAACCGCTAACATAAATTCAAAGTACAGTGAAAAAAACAGGAAGTACAGTGTTTTTGTAATGTCTTGAGGGTATTAAAAAGGTTTGTGGCCTCACCCACATAACACAGCTTTTGGGGAATAGCTTTCTGGGAATAAGGAACCTTAACTATCAGCTAATTAAACTTTCTTTGGAACCACCAAAACTCATTTCTTACCAGATGACGCCCCTTTGAAAATCTGTAGGTTACAGGCGAGAAAAACACTTCAGGATGAGCCTAAAGCTGTCATGAAGAACTACATGTAAGCACTACTCATGTTAGGAAATGGAAAGAAATAATGATTTGACTTGATTTTGAGTTTCGGTGGACGTTTTTTCATTTATTTGAACTGAGGATCAGAAAGTTAGACTGAAAATTATATGTATGACTGTACAACTGTATTACAAGGTTTGAATATGCCATTTATATGCCTTAAAGTTTGCAAAAATGACATTAAATCATCAATGTACCTAATTTTGCAAAATCTGACTTCCAAATTATCATCCGTATTTCCAAGTGCGGCTGAAACTTTTTCAGTTCACCTTATCATTCAGATCTACATGAAAGTACCTTTTGTTTTGTTGTTGCATCTGACAGTTGGAGGCAGCTGCAAACAGCTGTGTGTAAATGGGAAACACACGTACGCAGCAGCTGATGATGATGATGATGATGGCACAAGTAAGAAAACAGAGCACAGGACCACCCCCCACCCTCCCATGTCACTACCTCCACACTATCCTGCAATAGGAAGAGTCAAGAGGACAAACCTAGATGGTATGCAACTGGAATCAACTTCTAGTAGCTAGACGTACATTTGTACATGTATCACAATTGGAAAGATGTTTGTTCTCCATTCCTGCATTCGTACAGGTACATGTAGCATCCCAAACATACAGTACAGATCTCAAACAAGTAAAATCTGAGATTTTATGCCTCCGGGCTTTTTATGTATATTCTTATTTGTTGTTTGTTATGAATAGTTGATGGTGTTAAATTTTATGTGTCCAGGTTGTGTTAACATAGATCAACATTTTCATCTGCAGCTTATAACATGTACCCATGAACTTATGAAATTCTAGTTAATCTGCCGCAAGGAACTCGTAATGAAACTCAGAATGACAACCGGAACCGTTAAATCAGATGTTAGAAATAACCAGTAATCAGTGTTACGACATACATTCCTAAAGAAGCAAAACGTGGGCATATGGTGCGTATCCACAAATATTTCGATCGAAATGTATAATGAGTGGGAAGTGAAGATCTGTACTGTACATCATGTGTATTCTACATGTAGAACACCTACCCTTTACCCTGTATACCCATCTTTTCCCACCTTATTACTCCGTGAAGGAGGTCAGGACCTCCGGACGGAGTGTTGTGAAGAGCTGATTTTTCATGTTCGCAGTCAAAACACTGGGTTCTGTTTGTGTAATTGGCACGCAATTTTATACGCCGACTGCGGGCATGCCCGTGTTGATGCACGAATGTGTATTTTTGCCGTTGCTGCTTTCGCGGTCAATGTAATATTGCAGACGCACCCCTACAATTACGAGGCGAATTGGAATGGTCCAGAAAAACGCGTTGTTTGGAATAGCAGTGGGGGGTGGAACTTCATGCAGATACGGGGTGGTTTTGATAAGTGGTTCCAGATGTTTTGGGCCATGCTTAAGAGATGGCAAGTTTTTTGGAAGATGTTCGCAGCCAAAACACATTCTTCCGTACGTCGCATTTCTGTGTAATTTCGCATGTGGTGTTGCATGATGCACGTCTTTTTATTTTTACCGTAGCTGTTTTGATATCGGAGTAAATGCTTATTTTCGAAACATCCCCATGTCGTTGAAATGTTGTCGTCCGTTTATGTGACCGGTAGTAATTAAGTCGCGGTCAGGCTGATGGGGACGGAAATGTGGGGTTGTCAGAGGTCAACATTACGAAATGTAAATACCGATGACGTAATCCTATTGATTTCATACTGGTCGGCTGTGGCGACCTAGTGGCGGCGTGTATTTAGTCACGTAGCAACTGGCCGGTCGTCCTAGCAACGAGCATGCTGGCCGCTTCTCTGTACACATGGCCAATATTTTTGGGTTGGGCTGCTCCATAGTGTTAGTGGAGCAGCTCTTTGTAAACATGGACAATATTTTTGAGCAACCCATCAATGTGTTCTGCCTCGTGGTCGGATGTGGTCTGGGGCTGGTAAACCGCACATACTAGTAGATCGGGTAATTTTATGATTTGCTAGTTGTAAAGGCGTCTTGTAGTATGAGCCGGTATATGAAGAAGCAGCCTGTGTTACACAATCATGCTTTCGGCCGGATTGATGTGCAACTGTTACTAATTACAGGGACTGCGCTAATGCCGACTGGTTGCTTGGCCAGTCGCGCTGTCCTGATACACCGCGAATGTTGGGCAATATGCGAGTGTTCCCTGTAGACAGTCCCGGGAGTCATTTTTTTTCACACATTCGCACATTCCAGGAGCCAAACCAACATACGTTCATGAACCGAGTCCAAAAAACCGAAACATGAAAATCGGATGATCGGACCTGATGTACATTTCTCTTTCTGTAGATTGTACACACAATACACACATCTTTATATAATCTGGCCATGGCAGGTAAAAAAAAAAAGTAACCCTGAATCATACTAGATTAGCGTAAATGCATGTTTATGCGTTCAAAACAAGAAAAGAAATTGTTTCCCGGTATTAATCTCTTGAAACACGGCGCTGAATATTGACGCAAAAATATTTCGGGCATCGCGCGCCCTTCCCCGTTGTTTAGACTGTATGCAAATCCCGCATCACGTGTCGGCATTTCGCATCTCTGATTGGTTGTTGCGTCTTAAGATGACTGAGCCGACGCGCGTTTAAACAATTTTTCTTTGTTCGATTTATCACACTTCACAGAGAATTGTCGCCAATGGCTACTTCTTTTTGTTGCAATATTTAATACTTCACGGAAGATTGTCGCCTATGGCTTCTTGTTCCTCCTTCCTGCCGACCCACCCCCCAACAGAAACTTTGTGTACTCACTCTATGGATTGCCTTCTACCTTTAAGTTATATACCCTCTCATTTGCATACCATGCTCATTTGTATATCCCTCCTGGTTCGCCAACCCAAACTAAGTTGACTTTCATCACCTGTCTGGTGTGCCCAGGACAGGTGCACTAGTGTGAATAGGGTCAGGTAAAAGATGGCATTGGAGCCAACGTGAGCTGTCATCATTTACTTTAAATGGAGAATATAAATTCAATGGTATTAAGTTGATATTGATATTGCTCAGAGGCATCCAATGCAATTTGAAGGCAACAAAACGAAAAATATTCTGTATGAGGAAATCTGTCTGATATTGATATTTACTGCCATTTCTTTGCACATTTTCGTCATTATGTCATACTTCCAGCATTTATATCCTCAAAACAAGCTACGTGTGGAATCCCTTTGTTTTTTGTGTACCACCCTTAAATAGCTAGAACCAGCCTACGATACAAAACAAGCAACCGTTCTCCGTCTATAACATCACACTTTTACCTCACAGATATCAGGATTCAACTTACTACATGTGCATTAAAAGAATGAGCCAAAAATTAACTTTGAAAATTGAGTTTTGGTGCCCTGAAATAGCATCAGATGCCTTTAATGTTAAAGGTTTAAGGTTACTAATGAATACTATAAAAAATTATGTTTTAGACCAGCACATCTCCCTGGATATGGTGCCACTGGAGAAGACGGATCCCCAAAGTGTGCGGGTCTCAGATTCGCAACCTGTTATCCACCTTAAACAGATCCATGCGAAGGCTACCGTGTCGACCCTCCTCACTCAGGTGTAGGGACTGACGCGGTCATCCTATTTGGATTCTGTACATCTATACACGAATCTTAGCTAATCGCAAATAAAGATCTCGAGTGATTGCCATGCATACATATTAGACCAATTTCACACACACACAGTAAAATGTGAAAAATAACTATTTATTTTCATGTTTTTGCCCCTATGTTTCAGCTTCTAAAAGACACACCATCCACTCAGCCATGTTCCCTGTGAAACAGAAGGTGGAGCACAAGACTAACTCTGCCCCGGGGTACTACCGCCCCAGCCATGGGGACCCCGGGCACGAGAAGGTCAGGTGTATACCAGAGGAGTCCACATGGGAGGACATGAGCAAGGAGGTCTGTACAGTACTACATGGCAGGGCTATCATTGCTCCTTCTCTTAAAGGGGCATTATTATGTTTACCGAAGGAAAACATATTGTTTTTGCTACGTTTCCTCTTCTTCCATTCCAAACACTGACCTCTGACCTAGAGAATGACCTGATTTGTTAACGTCTGTCACCATAGTAACTGGTGTTGAGTTACATCATGTTGCAACTTTATAGTAGTACTACTAGGGATTTAGACTCCTGTGTGACCATATATACGAATGTGTTTGAGTAAGAATTAACAAAGCAGACCATATGCGAAGATAAACATCATGCATTTGCTTTGCAAATGTTAGCTTTCTAGTGTGATAATTATGTTTGCACCAAAAATCTTCATTTGATTGTAGTTTTCTCCACTCTTCAACATATTTGTGCAATTATCTCACATTTATGGTTGGCGCTAAAACAGCCCACACAAAATGGGCATTTAATTGTATATACTGTAAAGTAATATTATGCATTTTTCACTTCCTAAAATAAATTCCTGTCGGAATATAGCACCCCCTTCTGGAGGTTAGTACTACTTTAATCCATGGTACTGAAAAGTCTGTTTTGTGTGTGGCTATGTTAGGAGCTGCTGAGAGTTGTGAGGAGTCAGCATGAGAAGCTGCAGGATAACAAGGCGTACATCCATGAGCTGGAGGATTACATCGACGACCTGCTGGTGAGAGTCATGGAGACAACCCCCCGCATTCTCCAGAACCCGTACAGGAAGGACGACAAGTGAGAAAATACTGACACAACACGACACACCATTTTTATCATGGATACTGCTTAAACATAACTGTTTCCATCTAGCTAGTTCACACACAAATTCAACAATCATGATTGTTTCAATTTCCAGAATTTTTTAGAATGGTTTTATTTGAGCTTTTTGGCTGTGTTATAGCAAATGTATTACTGTGCTGTGTACCACGTTTGGGCATGAGTCATCACAATGGAATGCAGGGCATCAACCAATAGGCATGCAGCTTTCCTCTATTCTTCTTGCTGATTGGCTGTTGGGATTTAACTTGATTAACACTTGCACACAGCATTTCCACCTGCACAGAGCATTTCTTGCTGATTGGCTGTTGGGATTTAACCTGATTAACACCTGCACAGAGCATTTTCATACTGACAGTATGTCTGTATTCAAGTGTTTTGGTAGGTATTTCAAGCTTTCCTGCTCCAGCATTGGAATGCGGGGCATGAACGTTTTTTTTTATTTTGAAAATCAACAGTTTGCATTATGCAATTAAAAATCCTAACCAATAATGTAGGGAATAGCTATCCAACTGTTGTTTTAGTTGTATGTTACTTCATATTATAGTTATATCAATGTAAACCATTGTTTTCCCTTGTGTTTCTCATTCTTTCCCTACCATGTCGTAAAATGTGGTGAAGCCATCGCTGTATTTGCTCCTAAGCAAATATTGGCCTTTCTAGTTTCATTTTTTTTTTCATTTGAACAGAAGCCAGTAGCTCAAATGCCTGAGGGCGAAGCACCTACATGTTTATTTTCTGTAATTAACTCTGTACTTAAAAAACTTGAAAGTTGGAGCCGTATTGAAAAGTTTAGGACGAGTAAATGGCTTATGAGTATAAGAAATATTAAAGGGCACAGATTGTAAAGAACAGAGTAGATTGTAAATTTATAAATACAATACTTAGTACAATTTGCAATGTAGTTATGTCAAAATCTTGACTAAAACAAGACTTGCCCCTAGGATACTTGTAGCCACTTTGGAAAGGCTGCATTAGGTAAAGTCAGTTTCCTTTTGGATGGCAACATTTTAAACCAAACCAGGCATTACACAGCTTTGGTGGCAATTTAGTTCCTTACATTGTACATAAAATTATTTTTCTCTACATACAATTTACAATTTTAGCAAGACAAAAAGCATAAGGGAAGTTTTTTGGAATTGAAAGGATATTGGGCATACATGTACATGTGATACTTTGAAAAGACAGATCATTGTCACACTCTGGGCAGTCGTTCATTTTTTCAATCATTGTTCCATCCAGGAACTCAAAGGTGTCACCAATTGCAACTCTCCACTGTCAGTTTGCTGCCAAAGTGCTGGCAACTAACTGTTAAACAGTGCTTCCTGCTGCTATGCTCTAAGCCTTGTACCCACAGTAGATTGGCATACAGTCAAATCTAAGTGATACAGTTACCAAATTTGCTTTTCCGCCAAAGCAGTTAGACTGCCAAAATTAATACTAATACGATGCCTTATTAATAAGACTTAGTGCACATCCTTTTTATCAACAGTTGGACATAGTTCCCGTCCAAATTGTGCTGGGATGTGGTCGGCAGTGTGATAATCTTCCAGTAGAAAGTCAGGTGGAAAGTGCCAAACTCTTGATGAAAGCTGCTAGATTAAAGGGTGTTAAAGCCATTCTGTGTAGATGTCGTGAACTTACATGTAGATCTCAGGAAAAGTTACTAAAAATGTT